CCGAGGCTCCACCACCAGCATGGATTTGAACCATGCCTCTGTCTTCTCTCAGCTAACAAACTTGTGTGACCTGGGTGACTATTGTGGTAGTTTAATTTGAACCTTGTAGTTCCTGTTGGGGGGGGTTTAGATTCTATACTGGTACTGCTCCCTTTGTTCTGCTCTCTTATTGGTCTCATCTAAAAGTGTTTTCTATCCATCCATCCATTATCTATACACTGCTTCATCCTCTGTAGAGTCCCAGACAGCTGGAGCCTATCCCAGCTGACTCAGGGTGGAGGCAGGGAACACCTGGACAGGTAACCAGTCCATCACAGGGCCGAAATGTTCTGTAAAATGTCAGTTTGCTCCTTTTACTCCAGTCAGAGCAGAAGATGACAGACCCTTCAAAGAAATGCTTCACAAATCGTGCACACATTGCGTAGCTGTTGTCCCACGCTGTGAGAACAGATACACGATGACGTGTCGCTGTTTACACATCGTGTGCTGTATGAGCTAAGCAGAAGATTTAGGACATCTGTCCTCCAACCTTACGCTCAATCAGTGCTCTGGAGTGTCTTCCTGTGTGAGAAGGGTCTACTATTCCCTCTTTGGTACTGCATGTGCCAATAATATTCATCTATACTTCATTTATGTCTATATAGAAGTCACATAGTATAGATCCGTGTCTCACTGGCACACAGGCAGCGTAACGTGGAGCAAGTTAAGGTTCTGGTAGCATTTACAGCCACTGGAGCTACAGCTGGACCCGTCTGCTTTATTTTATTAGTACTGCTCGTTCTGAACACCTTCCTTCTCCTCTCACTCCCCAAAAATACACATTACTCATACCTCATTCTCATGTGTTGCTCGATCTTCTTACATCAGTCCAGGGCCTCGTCCCTCTCACTGTCCCCCTGCACCTCCTGCACTTCACCCTCTGAATCAGCGCTCTGCTGTAACTGGACACTCTGAGGCTGTGACTTGTAACCCAGTCATTCCTACTATCCTGTGAGTGAGGGCTATCCCTGGATGCTGCCCCGACCGACTACTCAAATCAAATGTTACGAATAGCTTAATACCACTGAAACTGAATAGGAGTTCAGATGAAGTTTGTTCCGTCTCCCACCACAGAGCACGTCCAGTTTCAACTTGTGTGAATGCAAATGCTTTGGTTTGTGTGTGAAATATGTCTTCGGTATGAACGTAGGACAGTTAATGGGGTTTAAGAGGAATTCCTGACACTGGTTCGGTGTGTGACACGAGGAGGAGGAGGAGGTAACGCTGCACATGAGGAATGAAAGGGGAGGGAGCAAGGTCACAGCCTTCACACCGAGCTGGCTGCTCATAGACAAGTGCTCAACACAATAATGTTGTGTCGTCTCCTACAGCCTCGTGGAGGTATGCCTTTGACAGACTAATGGTGTGGACTACTCCTCTGTCACTCTTCATTCTCGGATCTTTCATCCTTCACCTCCAGCTGTAATCACTGCACACTTGATGGATTGTGATCCAGGTTTCCAGAGCGGTCAGGAGATGCAGAAGATCAACAAGAAGAAGCGAACCCCGAGGACCAAAGCAGCTCATCAGTGAGTAACAGGGCGAGGCAAGAGGGCTGAGTCTAGGACCGTGAATCTGCTTTAAATGAGAAGATAAAGACAGTAAAATGGGATGAGCTTGCGTCTACACGGTTTAAGAAGAAGCTAATATTTGTTCCTGTTTCTCACTATCATGTAGTTTTTCCTAATGAGATGAATTCGCCTGCATTTTGGAGACAACTTGGGAAATTATAACGAGCTGAGATGTGGTGACCTGTTTGGAGCGTAGCAACGGATGTTTCTCTAGTCTTCTAATAAATCTGTCTCTGATGTAATTACCAGTGAAAGCGCTGCATGTCATGTGCAGCTCTTACGTGTGCTGCTGAAGATAAGAGATGTTTGAAAAGTCAGGAGTCAAAAGCTTGATGTAGGGAGATGACAGAAGCCAGTGGACATAGAATTAAAACCTTTAAACCCCAAATTGTTTGCATTGATAAGCCAGTTGGACACATGTTGAAAACACACTGGAACACAGATATAGCTTTAAGAATCTCACTGATCAAACTAAACTAACTACGATGAAACCAAATGGCTTCTGAGAGGTGTTCTAATACAGCCAGCACAGGACTGACACCTCCGACAGAACCGGCCGGAGGGTGGCTGAGAACATATAGACAGTAAGACAATGAACAGTGGGCAGGTTGGTGAGGTCAGCCCCAGATCACTGCGCTGCTTCAAGCCTCATCGAGCCTGGTGACGATGGTCCCATGATCTCAGATCAAATGGGAAGGTGTCTCGCTGCAGCATGTTCAGGTAGCTACGCTGGTTAGGTGCTGCCATAAAGTCTGAATAAATAGTCTCAGCAGCAATGAAACGTCCACTTCATGAGTTTCTTGGTCTGAGCAGTTCCTCAGAAATTCCATCAAGTGTTAATTAGTGTTCATTATGTCAAACTTTAGCAAGAAGGTCTGTAACTAAATAAGAACAACAGCCTTTGTGGCAAGAAAATCCCAAATCTAACTATTGTTGTAATCAAATTATCCCACACATGCATTCTGCAAAACTTACTGATTAAATGAAGAAACGCTCTCTCGTCTCACCTGTGCTGCTGTGTATGTGCTGCAACGTGACAATAACCTGGATCTGATTGGAAATAACTGGCATTAAGAACAGACAGACAGATCCTCTCATGTTCTCCATTGAGCAGCAGAGAATCGAACACGACTGCCTACCTGACAGGTGTATCCTGAGCTGTTCAGTTCAGGAACAACAGCTTATAAAAGGGAAAAATATCCCACATAAGTCAGCAGATAAAGCATGTGTGAAGGCAGCAGTGATGGAAGAGATCAGCAGACTGACTGGTGTATGCTTGTCAGGTTTTGGTTGATGTCCAGCTGCTCTGTGCGTTAACAGGTGTGTACAGAGGGACACACTGACACAGCAGATATTTGACTTGCAGCAAACTGAAGTTTGTGTTTCCACCATTTAACAGTTGTTGTTGTTGTTTTCTTTTTTTGGAGGGGCATCGTTTTTCATGTGGTGTGGACAGCTGTAATCCTAAAGGCTCATCCCATAAGCCCTGGCTTGTCAGCATACCACACACACACACACACACACACACACACACACACACACACACACACACACACAGACGTGCCGTGCTTCAGTACTGATTGTCAGTATTACTAAAACTCGACTGCCTGTGCCAGCCTAACTACAGCGTGGAGTCAGACAGTCCCTGCTGCTGGCTGAGCGTTTACAGCAGATCACATGTTGACTGTGGGTTTGTCTGTGGGTTTGTCTGTGGCTCATGTGGTTAACAAACTAAGTACTAAACAAACTCAAAGGCAGCAGTTGCCAGAACATTTTTTCATGAATTTGGGTCCGTCTGCTTGAGCCACATCGAGCCCAGTCACAGTGCATACGATGTGTTCTGAGATCGTCTTGTCCCCTGAGCTGTGAGCTTACCTGTGCAGCTGAACTGGTGGACCGGCTGAAGGCTGGAGAGGAGGCTGAGGCCCGAGGCTGAGGCCCGAGGCTGAGGCCCGAGGCTGAGGCCCGAGGCTGTGTTTCTGCTGCTGGGGCTGGACTGGAAGCTCGAGTGCAGAGCTACAGACACCGACCAGGCTGAGTGCTTCGATGTAAACATGTCAATACAATGAATGTTAAAGGCAAAGAGCAGAGAGAGATGCTTTTTGGACCTCAGTTCTTGCAACTTTTAGAGAGGCCTGTGTTCCTTTGTTTATATGGTTGGTTCAGTTTGAATATATGTGTTTGACTCACAGCTTTCTCCACTCTGACTCTGATGAAGACACAGCAGTGTTTCAGTCTGTTTGCACCATGTAAAGGTTTAAGCCACGTGCTCCAGCCCCCTTTAGTACACTAAGAACCCTATAGAGTCGTATGAGCAAATGAACTGTGAAATATGCAGAAGCCAGCAGTTTAATGCTATGATGTGAGCGGTAGAACGATTATGTACAGTACGCCAACAGCATGCTCTGAGCTTTACTAACAGCACTTTTTAGTCATACAGCTTTGTCAAAGCCTGCCGCTGCTGGTTTCTGTCACAAGTAGGGTAGTTTTCATAGGCTGCCAAAGAATGAGTGGGGTATTTCTGGTCCACATGGTAAGAGTAGAGGGGTCTCTGTGACCCTGCTGCTACAAATCACAGACAGTTTTATGATGAGCAGCCACTCAGCGCCGTCCTTCTCAGATGTTCTCGGATCACGAGACAAAGAATATACGTTTCACCTGACGCACCAGGAGGTAGGAAGAAACACAGAGAGTCCTTGTTGGTTTTTTGGAAAGTCAACAAACTCTGTATGTTACATTTAACAGATACAGAGTTAAATACGGTGTGTTATTGTGTCAGCACTCCCTTAAGCAGCAGGACAAGGATTAGTCACTGGATGTTTTTCCATTAGACTGGTTACCTGTCCAGGTGAACCTGCCTTCACCCTGAGTCAGCTGGGATAGACTCCGCCCCCCATGACCCTAGTGAGGATGAAGGAGTAGAGATGATGGATGGATGTTTGTCCATATAACTGTCAAGTGATTATTTGGCAATGATTTGGCAATTACAACTTTTGAAAAGTGGCAAAAGAGAAAAAAAAAAAAAATTCTTGTTTCAATGAACTGTTTGAGATGAACACGTTGCATCCTGTTGTCAGAAGGTGGCGCTAGAGGCTACGTCACACATGGCTGTAGCAACAGAGACGAAGCTGTACAGCAGCGAGCTGTCTTGTCATCTCACTGGGGCGGCTGTGGCTCAGGTGGTAGAGCAGGTTGTCCTCTGATTGTAAGGCTGGTGGTTCCATCCCCCTCCACAGTCCAAGTGTCCTCTGAACCTGAAGCTGCTCCCATGGCAGCACCTTGCTGGCAGCTCTGTCACCACTGGTGTGTGAATGGGTGAATGAGAAACACACTGTAAAGCGCTTTGAGTGCCACTAAGGTAGAGAAGTGCTGTATCAGTGCAGTCCATTTAACTTGTTCAGAAAAGTGTTTCTATCTTAGATGAAGCACATGAACCCTTTTCATAAAAGGCACAAAAAAAAAATCTCTAATGAGCAAAAAATGTTTAGTGTTCTTGAGGATGTTTTTGAATTTGCTGATTCCACTGACTTTGACTAAAGTGATACTTCAAAATGTGTATACACTGAGTTGATAGAAACACTGACTCCAGGTTACTTAGGTCCTTATGACAAACCATTTGTTTCTATCTATCCATCTATCTATCTATCTATCTATCTATC